TCTTTGAAGCTGCCAGCGATGCCCAGCGACAGCGCCGACGTCTTCTTGACCAGCAGAATCTCAATGAAAATCAGCACAAAGGCCAGACAGCCACTGATGAAGATAAACACCAGCGACATCATCAACAGCTGCGAGTCCAGTAAAAATCTCGACGTCGCGTAGTCGCTTGCCTCGGAGAATAACGCAATGGGGAGCAGTCCGATCGCACTGGCCGGTGATACGTAGTATACTACAGCCAGCACTTTATTCCTCGGCGCTCCAGTACTGTCCTCCATTGCCTGTAACAGCGACTGGGTCAACACCCACCGCAACGTTCCAATCACTGACGCCGCTAATACCAGTATAAAGCCGTAAAAAACAAACTGAGCCGAGCCGTAACTGGCGAGTCCAATGCCACTCGAGATTAAAACAATCACGCCGAATAAGGGCCAAGAAGGGCGCTGATGTCCAAGGCAAATGGAGAATAGCAAGTTCCACACGTTTCCTCCGGATTTCACGATAGTGTAGAACGTGACGGTGATGTAGAACAGCGATAAGTTGGACAGCATGATGTCTAGAGCAGTGCACACGCCAATCGGTACCGCTAGCTTCCAGTAGATACTCGAGGGCAGCGCCATCATCGTCCCGTTGCCATTGCTGCCACCGCTGGAGCATCGATCGATGATTCTAGATAACAAACACTTGACGAACATGTTGATGCACGTCATGGTCGTGGCGAACGGGTAGCCGCCGCCCGCCCAGACCCGTAAAAACCACTTGTTGAACAGCGTCATGCCGATACTGACGGCGTACCAGAGCACCACGAATACGCTCACGTCTAAGGCGTGCAGAGCTGCTGGGAACGGCACGAAAACGCCCAGTCCGGGCAGAGGACGAAGGCGTTTACGTCGTCGACGTGTCTTGGCCAGATAGAAGCCCAATAATCGCAGTCCGAGCGCCAGAGACAACATGAAGGAGCACGTGGCCACTAGCGCTGCGGTCTTGTCCTCGTTGCTACCGTCCTTGGACTCCAGAGCTAACGCCGCGAGCGTGGGCAGCGGTCCGCTGTCGCTGTCGCCCGCCTGCGCCATGTGTACGACTGGGCGATACTGGTCAACTGAGGGAGAGCGCCACAGTAAAGTAACTAAGAACCTGTGTAAAATAATACATTGATGGAGCTGGATGATGCTGGACGATAGGATCTGAGATCTGATTGGACAAGGGAAAAATAACGGCTGAATTTTTTTCTGTTAGAAAAGAGAACTTCAAGGTCACAGTATTTTAGTGTACCATCAGCTTACCGACATTTTCCCCATCCTTTTGTGTGTATTAGTGTCTATCGGTTGTGGTGATCTATTGAGGTGATCCAATTTTCTATGGTCCTTGTTTGTCACTGCAGGTGAGAATATGGTGTCCTTCTTTCTGGCGATGCGAGGCCAGCCGCTTGGCCGACATGTAGCTTTTCTTGCAACCGTCGAAGCCACACATCATTCGACAAGTGCTTTCAGCCCTGTGCTCCTTCATATGCGCATTGAACTTGTGTAAACCCGTGAACGACGCTCGACATGATGTGTCCGTGCAGGTAAACCGTTTGTGCTGCGTCTGATGAGCTTCTACGTCGCTCTTCGACTTTAGAATCTGATCACAACCACAGTAAGCGCAGATCTGCGGGACGAACGTGGCTGTTCTCACAGAACTAGACACGCTGTCATCGTCTTCCTGGTCATTGGAGTGTCCGGCTTTGATCGCTCTACGCTGCATACGTCGCAGTCTTTTCATCGCTTTCGACCGCTCCTGATACAATTGACGCCAGTTGTGCTCGTACCTCTCGCCGTGATGACACTCCACTGGCGCAGACGGTAGAGCATTCGTTGGAAGGCCAACACGCACGTAAAGGGGTTGCCAGAGTGACGCACGGTGACTGATGTCTGCAAATGTACGGCACACGAGAGCCATCCGACAAAGCCGCTTCGCGCTCATGAAGGAGCACACACGCTCCATGACGTCAGGCAACAGCAGCACATCGAAAGAGCGTTCGAGCTTGTCAGGATCCACTGAATTCTTCACCTGTTCCGTCCGTCGACGCTTTCGTGCTGGTACAATTAATCCATGCTCGTGAACGGGTTCAGCGAGCGGTATGGATGACACCAAGTGTGGCTCCAACAACGTGTTCATCTGTGTGAACGCTGAGAATGACGCCGGTTTGAATGCTAAGCGAGACTCTAAAGAATGCCACGTTGCAACTCGGTCTTTGAACTGCTGCTCAGTGTCGTTATCATTTTCTTCAGCTTCGGACACAAAGGCCTGCACTTCTTCGTCCGATAGAAATACCCAGTGTTTCCAGACTTTCGCTGTCCAGCGCACGGGAGCAGCAATGTAGAAGTCCTCGAACGCAATTTCACTGCATAACCGCATCTGCAATTGTGACAGAACCTCCTTGACCCCTGCTGCCTCGGAGCTCACCTCTTGACGTAAGCTATCGACACTTGGGCAACGATGCAACGCCACATACACGAGATAAAACACCAGTTCCAGCTGTCGATTCCGTTGTGATTCAGGATCATCAGCAGCTTGCAGGACCGTCTTGTAGGAGGTGACTAGAAGCTCTAGTAACCTTATCACTGATGTCAACGGTACCAAGTCCACATGAGCACAGAACCCCACAAGGAAACTCAGTAGCAGCTCTCGAACTTCTTCGCTTGTGTTTACTGTATCATTGATCCGCTTTATTAGCATCGATACGATATCCGCCGCCAGGTCCTTTACAAAGATGCACCCCACTGCCGTAAACACAACAACACGTTGCGGTATCACCAATAGTTTTGCTTGATCCGCTGGACCTGATATCGCGTCCTGAAGCGCACAGAATAGCGCAGGCTTGAGCACTGCATTGGCTCGCCAACTCTTGAACGCAAATCCTTGTAATCCAGCGAAAAATTTCTCCATCAGTTGATCGTCTAGATGCAGCCCAAGCGTTTTCTTTTCATTCTTCACAGACGCAAAGTTTCCGAGCACTTTATCGCTTGCAAGTCTCAATAAACCGATCATCAATTCCGTCACCGCGCTCTGGTTCTCCTTGTCTCCTCTGTTCAGTTCCTCCACCAGTCTCCAGATCCCTGTAACTTGAGCAAAACTGCAGTTAACCCGCTGCTTCTTCTCCACGTGTCGATGCCCATTCAGTACTCGCAGGAACGTGTCCGGGAATCGAAGTCCCATCAGTGCCGCGAATGGCAGCAGAGTCGACCACACTGGGAAGCACGTCATGGCATGAAATCGGGGCTTTGGCTGCATCGGACGCCATTTACAGGCGTCTGGAGCCTTTCCCAGTCGCTGAGCACATGGTGACAGCAGTGCATCCAGTAGCACGTGCATGGTGAGCTCCGCAGCAGACCAAAATACTGTATTGTCTTCCACGAAATCGCCATTATTGTCCTGTCTCGCCAGCCGCACCAGTTGCTGACATACCAGCGCTGAGATGCCGCTCTCGCGAGCACTGCGACTCAGCCATTGCGCATCTGGGTGGCAGAAAGCGCGACGTACTAACGCGGAGGGTGGCGCAGCAGTAGAACGAGAATTGTGGCTGGTGAGGGAGTCCACAAATTCGCAGAGCTCGGGCAACTGCCGTCGGATCTCGGACTGCGGACGCTGCAGCAACTCCGAGACCGCGATCTGCTGCGTGTACACGTGTCGCGCGGACACTCCCACACAGTCGTTGAGTCGCTGCAGCAGAGCGAGCAGCTCCCGCTTGGGGCGCAGTTGTCGGCGCTGCATTGGTTGGATGATTAGCAACAAATTTGCCTAATTGTATTACCAAAATTTGTTACTGTCAATATTCAAATTGCAAAGGAACTTCACATGGTATCCAAAATATCGGAAGAATTTCTTGCTGTGTCGTGATCGTGAACTCGGTGTAATCGCAACAACATACCTATGCAAATGCTCGCCGTTACGTGGCGGTACGATACTGCATCTACTACTATGACGCAATATTCAAATGTCGACAAAGTTTATGGTTTTCAGCTAACCCCATAATCTCTCATTGTTCATGGGGACTCGCCACGGATGTTCTACTCACTATCAGTCTACATTTCCACCACCCACACACTGATGCATCGAAATGACGGTAGCAGCAATTCTACTCCTCTCAGCATGCAGTGCGGCGACGACTGCAAAACTCGCGACAAGCAGGAGGTTTCTGCGGCGCCAGGGCATGAACGAGGAAGAGAGGGCGTTTAACCTGAAAGCATTCCTCGGTTTGGGAAAGCGTAAACCGAACTACTTCGCCGAGAAGGATCTGGTAAGGGCGATGGATGAAAGAGAATTTAGAGGCGAGCTGTTCGCGAAGTGGTTCGAGCAGAAGTTTAACGCGGGAACCATCAGGAAAAAAAAAAACTCGGTATAGATTATCCAGACTACCCCGCTTCGAGAAGCTCTTGTTGATCTACATCAACAAATATGAACCCTGGGCGTCACGTCAAGCCACCGCTATCGCTCCTGTCCGCAAAACATGAGTCCATTTCTCAAAATCAGACGGCAAACTTAGAGGTTTTTACGATCACTTTAAATGTCGGAGAAGCAGCGATAAACGCCAGTTCGGCCGATAATAGTGAGACTCTTCTCCAAGCAACATTTTATCATCCGTTTCTTCAACGTCGTCAACGGTGCCGCAAAGTGTGGGTGGTTCCTAGTGACGACATGCGTCGTTCGAATCTGTAGCACGACAGTTGAACGTCACTAAAGTCTGATCTAAAAGATGGCCGTCTCGTGGCGCACATATTTCTCTCTAACGGATACCAAACAGCGGCAGCCAGCACCTTTGCATCGAGCTAAAGCTGCTCCAACCAGTCGTTACTCTACACTCCTGAGCTCCAGAATCTTGGGTTGCACCAGCTCAAGCTCAACGCACAACACCGCTTGGGTTGCACCAGCTCAAGCTCAACGCACAACACCGCTACCGAAACCGCTGCTTCCGCCTCCATTGCTTCAGAAACGTCTTAAAACGGATTGACGGGGACCGACGACGCTCTCGGTCTTGCCAGTCTGCAATTTACCGCGAGCCGCTCAAGTCTCCGGCCCAGACGCCACCACCCGACTCCGAAGAGTATCAACCATGCGGATCTATTCTCTCCTGACGCTTCTAGCATCTCTACAGGCTGCACTAGCCCAACAAACCGCTCCGAATCATGAAGAATGCTATGAAATGCCTGTGGTGATCGTCTCGGCGCTGGACCGGAGCTTCCCGGACCCAACCTGCAACCAACTGCGCTACCCCGCAGACGACTGCCTCAAAGACGCCGTGCAGACCCGTGTCGAGGTCATTGACAATGGCGACGGTAAGCTCAACTGCATCAACGGAGAGCGCACCGCCGTGTTTGAGCACTCCAAATCCAACTACCGCGGCCAGACGAGCCTCTTCTTCGCCAAGCACCAGTTCAACATCAAGTTCCCAGAGGACACGTCGTTTCTGGGCATGGTGGAGAACAAGGCGTTCGTTATGAACGGGCCTTTCCTCGATTGCACCCTATTGCGGAACCACTTGGCCCATTGGTTGTATCGCTCCACAGGCCGGTACTCCGTCAAGACTCGACACACTGTCGTCTATATGCGCACCGATCCCGCTCAGGAGAACCCCCAATACTCCGGTATCTTTCTACTATTGGAGAAGCCCACGTACGACAAGAACCACGTGAACCTGGCATCCATTGACGCCACATGTGCTGCTCGTAACCCGAAGGTGATGAACGGAGGTTGGGCGTGGTCGAACGACCCGCCTAGCTACGGTTCCTACTCGCCCAACATGGTCATCGACCAGTATCAGAACGAGTTTGGCATGGGTGAACGCCCCGTACTGGCGCATCCAAGCGGATCGTCGCTCTCGCAGCAGATGCGCGACTATTTCGTCAACACGGAGACGGGGTTCCTTCCGCAGATGTACAGTGTGCTGTGGAACAACATGACGGCGCCATTGGAGCTGCAGAAGCACTTGGATCTAGGATCGTTTGCCGACTATTTGCTGCACACGGAGATGTCGCTCAACGTCGACGCCTACCGACGCAGCACCTTCTTCTTCAAGGACCGTGACCAGCCCATTAACGCCGGCCCCGTATGGGACTTCAACTTGGCGTACGGCAACGGAGCACGTCGCCACTTCAAAGACTGGATCTACCCTCAGTACACGTACTGGAAGCGTCTCATGTGCCACTCGCAGCTCGCGTCGCTCGTCATTCAGCGGTGGAAGACGCTGCGTGGCACCAACATGCAGAAAGCTGACGATCCGGTGTTCGGCGTCTGGAGCGACGAAGCCATCTCCAAGTTCCTGGACGCCAGCTCAGCGCCGGTGCACCGTCAGCTGTCTAAATGCCGCGGTGGAGACTGGCGCAGCGACGTCGTTCAGTGCGCCGTTGTCGACTTGAAGACTTGCAACGGGACTTACGCCGATCAAGTGACCGAGATGCGTGAATCGATATTGGACCGTGCGCAGTGGATGGACGAGCGGATCGAGCAGCTCTACAAGCCTCTGGACGCCAAAACGTGCTCGGGTGTGGGTGATCTCCCAAAGTTCAACTGCGGTCTCGACGGCAACGACGATGGCTGCCTTAAGAACGCTGAAAAGTACTACAATGCCGTCACGTTCCCGCCTGTACGGAAGCCGTACACGGGTCCGTCTTGCGAGGAGATTGTCGCTAACAACGCCGATACCACCAACGGTGAAGAGATGGCAGCACAGATGACACCATACCAGAAACCATCGGTCGACTACTGCTGGCGGTCGGCTGGTAGCTACGTGTATCCGCAGCAAAAGGGTGTGAAGGACAAAACGCTCACGCCATTCTGCAGTGGCTACGGCTCGTGTGCGCAGGGACCCGGTGCAACGTGCAATTGCTCTGCTGCCATTCAGGTGGAGCACCCGTCTTGCCGACGTATTGATGCCGAGAACGAGCACTACATGCGCGAACAGCAACGTATCGCTGCTGCTGCTGCTGCTGCTGCAGTGAAGACATCAACGGTGGTAGATACGCAAACCGAGTCGAGTGAGAAGGAGGGCGTACTGAACAACGGCTCACCGGTGTCCGATACAATGGCTGTCCTTGCAGCTGCTGGTGCTGGTGTGGTGCTGCTGGTTCTGGGCACGTGGCTGGTGAAGGAGCACGGCCGTCGTCGCCGCCGTCAGCGCTTGAGCGAGTACACTCCAGTTCGATACGGAAGCGTTGAGCATGCTCGTATCTTCGCTTCACAGGCGAACGTTTAGACGGGTAGGATGCGTGTGCTAGTTGAAACTGAAGTGATGGGATAACTACGAAATAATGCAGACTCTTTCATATTCAATTATTCAAATGTAGTTACTTGAGTGTAATTCTCTGGTATTTGTTGTATTTGCCTTATTGTAACACGTCTCGCGGATAGCAGACTTTGCTTTCGTCCGAGAAGTTTTCAGCAGTCTTTGCTCAGCGGTGGTAAATGGGGTGCATGGCACACAACAGCATCAATTGAGTCTTTTCTTTTGGTTGGCAAAAACAAACTCAGTAAAATTGAAGCTCTTGGAACTCCTTCAGGCGCCTAGCTGTAGAGATAAAAAGCTTCCGTACAGTGTTGGATCTTCTTCTTCAGTCGGCTTGAGATCCCCACTTCATCAATTCGGCAATCAAGTAAATAAAAAAAATCAAGTTTTCGCAAATTCTGGTCTCGTCAAATTAGTTTCCATTCAACAACGACAAATGTTTGGCACCTCGTTCAAGACTTGCAGAAACAGAACCAATTTATCCAGCTTGCACTTGGAGCAGTCGATCTTATTACACTGACTCGCATAGGACACTGCCACCACTGCAGGAGAATCTCCCTTATCTTCATCGTTTGAGCTGCTAGGAAAGCTGCACACGGGAAAAATATGTATGTGATGCAGACTCGAATAATTCAGCCCCTCCAGGATCGTGAAAACGCGGTCCTTCCAGTCCGAATCCTGTTTCCATTTACCAGTTTTTGGTAGTCGTTGTGTAATAACCAGATGAATGCTGCTCTCACTTGGAACTCGCTCCAGTATACTCCAAACTATGCTGAAGTCGAGCTTCTTCACGAACCAGCGAAAATTATAGTGTGTAAACGTCGGCACTTGCCAGTTGCACTCAATCGAAATTCCACCACCTAATTTGATATCCGTTCCGTCTTTGGCCCTCTCAACGCCCAGCATTCCCAAGTTCAGCTTCGACCGCATTAGGGACCCAGGCCATTCTAGATTTGGGGGCGCCAAATACGGCACCGTGAAGGAAGAAACTAGCTCTTGAATGGATTCAGGGAACTCAATGCGCTGATCCAGTGTCGATTGCATTCCCAGTTCGTACAATAAAGAAGAGAAGAAGTCAGCGAAAACAATCCCGGCCAATCCGTTGCGGTGACTTGCTATGATAACTGCACCAGCCACAACCATTTCCAACCGCATATTCTTACTTGGATAATAGAAAGCGTTATTAGCCGTGATTGAATACACATACGTATTGCTTTCGACGCTAGCAAAAGCTTTACAGAATGGAATCTGCGCCATATTCACGTCTCTGAGCGGGATGAAATCCTTGCTGCTTGTTAAGCAGAGATGTAAGAGAGCGTCCTGGTCCGGCTTCGGTAATGCGATGTTGCATTCCCACACGGGCGCTGTGCTAAGCTCTTGATCGGTTGGGGAGAAATGCCACGGAAACCACAGCTGAAAGAGCTCAAACTCGTAGAAATGAGCAAAATGATCGGTGATAAGGTGACGCTTAATGTCATCTCGCACCATCTTACAGCTAGGATCCTCCTTAAAGTAGCTTCCTCCGAGAAATAAATACACCTGGCCCATACGGAAAAACTCGGACATGAATTTTTCACTATTTGCAAACTTGTTCGCCAATTCCTTAACCATTTCGTCCAGATATCTCACCAATTTAGCGTCATCTTTCAATGGGTTTTCTGTAGCATACTTCATCACCGCGTTCGCGAACATGGGCCGACTGTGTTTGATTATTGCCTGTATGTCTCGCTGCATAGGAGTCGAAGAAATGTTGCGGAAGCATGGGAGTGACGGCATCACGATACAGCTGGGTACATCATACTCTTGTTGCTTCACATAACGTTGGTCCGATCTCACGATTTCCGAGCATACACAGCTCCTAGAGCTTACAATAACTGCCAACCCCAACGACCGGAAGACATTTACCATCAGCCGAAGATCACGCTCTGAGTGTTCACAATGCTTGCATCTCGTACTGTCTGGGAAATTATCCAGGAAAAACACGCAACGTTTGTCTCCTTCTTCTAACTTTTTCACTGCATTCATAACTTTTCGACGAGTACAAAGTTGCGCAAATGTAGCTTTGCCACTCAACAATGCTTCAATGAAGCCGAACGTGTACGACTCCTGCACCTTTGAAATACTAAACATTCCAGCATTTTCCAAACTTGGTAAATCGGCTGCAACACATCGCAGGAACGCACTAGCTCGTCTGGAATATCCTAGCTCGACATCTTCTCCACAGGATATGTAAAAGAGCTTAGTCTCTTCACGAGTCATCAAATTGAAAGCCATTTGGGTTTTCCCGGAGCCGGAAGAGTTCACCAATGCAATGAAAGGTGCTTTGTAGGGATTACGGGCTCCAGTGCGACTAATTTGCTCGACTTGCTGCACGACTTCATCCACTTTCTTTGTGTTTTTCAGTATTTCAGCGACAGCGCGATAATGTTGGGTATGATGCCAGTGCTCTTTGTCTTCTGCCACAACAAAAGTTTGTGGCAGAACAACCAAGACATTTAGTCTCCCGTCTTTCGATGTGCGAAAAGTTTCATCAATCAGTGATGCCGGGTCCAGCTCTTGCTGCTGCAGCAAGAGCTGAATTGTCAAACTGTCTCCATCCTGTAGTTTGCGTACTTCTGGCGCAGAGCGTGCCAACCACGCGCCGTTTTCAATTCTCGCTTCATAAAGCTGAAGTGCGATTGCTCGAATCAACGGATTACTGTCGAACAGCTCTTTCTTGATCGCTTTTTGCAGGTCGTGAATACAATCCGATGCCTTTACGACAACAGCGAAGCAGTCCCGGTCAGTATCACCAACGATCAAACACCAGAGCATGACGAAGCGCGGCCTGTTGTTCGCTGTAATCAACTGGCGCAAGGGCTTTCCAGCATCAACCACTCGAACGAGAAGTTGGATTTTTCGAGTTTCCAAAGAGCGGAAATGCTGTTCTAGTAGGTCTTGCTGGTTCAGAGACGTCTGGCAAATAATATCAACTGTCGCCTTGTCTCCTGCCATTAGCGCAACCACCTGAGGACCATCAGCGTCGAGCCATCTCCCGTTGTTCTGCTTGGCAGCGTAAAGTTTGATCATGAGATCATCAACCCCAGCAAACATGGAGGAGTTTGATGCCTTGATCGCCCCAAGCAGATCGGATACGTCGTCACTTGGTTTCCTATTCACCGACATGACACCTGTACGAGTGCCAACGATGAGATACCACAGCTTCATTTTGTTGCCAGCGGGTTATTTCACAAATGATTGATTCGTTTCCATTAACGAAAAATGACCTTACAGTTTAACTTGCTGCGTCTTCTTTTTCAATATAGAGCGCCCAGCGGGACCACCACCCTTTGGTCCTCTTCCCAGATATCCCTCCCTTCGCAGGGTGTCTTCAACTTGATAGCTGAACTTGGTAACGGTGGCTTCACCAAAGTGAACTCGACGATTCCGAGCAATATCGGAAGTAGTAGCGGAGTGCTGATACTTGTTGATATACTCCAGGAGTAATCCCCTATAGCGCTTACGATAAAGTGTTTTGAGGTTAGTGACGACATCTTCTGCCTTTTTGTGGTGTTCATTCCACTTCATATACATCTTCACCCTATACGCTTCGTCGAATTTCATCTTAATCAGACGCGCATAGCCAAAATTCTCCTCAAGACCAAGCCATTTAAGCAAGATAGACTCTCGCTCTTCAGGGCTGTCCTTAATATTGTTGTCGTCTGCGTCGGGCATTCGGAGGCTCTGTTCCGAGTTGCTGTTTATAGTCTTCCCAGTCGCTATACTGTTATGGCTGATAGTAAGAACTACAAGCGAAGCCAGCGTCAGTGCCATGGCACGGCGAGTAGTCATTGCTCTTGAGTACCAATCCCAAAGTTTCGCAGGTCGCGTGTTGGGGAGAAACTTGCGGAGTGAGTGACATCGACATTGAGTACCGTATTATGCAGCAACACAAAATGCATAAACAATTCTCTCTTACACCGGTAGTAACTCTGTATGCTGTTCACTTCTGGCCTTTGGCACGAACCCAATGGTGGTAGACCGTACAGTATCCATTTCCACAAGTACACGGAAACGCATACGTGACAGCTTCTGCAAATTGATTATCTCGCTACATGACCAAAAGTCCGAACTACATAATAATAAATTCTTTTCACTTGCAATCAACTGGTTGCACATTCCTGGATAGCTTGGTGGTCACCGCCCGCCTGGAAGACCAAACGAACCATGTTATGCATTGCACCCTCGAACGAAATGGCAATGTCATCCATTTGACTCTGGTTTTTCGACACGATTTCCTCCAATTCAGCTTCCGTCGGCGTGTTCTCCTCGCCGCTAGTCGGACCCCATAAGCGAATCACATTCTCGATTCCACTCGTTGCTAAGCACGCATCAAATGGATGCGGCTGAACACAGTTCACAATATCTGCGTCCGCCTCAATTGCGTTCACCAGTTCTCCAGTAGATTTATCCCACACCAGTGCCCGGCCATCGTCACTCCCTGCTATGATATAGGCGTCATTCTTGCCAAGGAAAGCGGCCTCTTTAATGTCCGTTTGCACGTTGCAATAGCCAATATAACGTCGGAGAACGTCACAGTTCACAGGCGTGCTGTTCACTAAATTCCCCTCCCAGAAGCCGTCATCGTCGTCCGGTAGATCCTCTCCAGAGTTGTCGTCCTGGTTGCCATGAGGGACTTCATCCTCGCTATCACTGGAATCATCCTCATCCGACGATCGATACAAACGGAAGGTGCGGTCCACCGTACGTCCGACTCGGTCAGTCGATGCCGTTCCGTTCAGAAACGATGTCACATCTGCCTCATGGTCTGGATACTTCTCTTTGTATCGTCGAGCCTGCCACTTGGCTTGTCGTTGCCGTTTCCCCGCATTCAGTGCCTTGATGTACGTCAACTCCACGTCGCGATCATTGGGATCAAGCTCCAGGGCCTTCTTGCATTGCAACGCGGCCAGATAGCTATCTGCGTTCCACGATCGTCCCAGATAGGCCTTAGCACAGTCGTGATGAAGTTCTTTACGCCGTGTTGCTGTCAATTCCGTCACGCCGCGAGCACCACACGCCAGATTCAGTGACTTGAGTGCTCGTGTGTACTCATCCCTGTCTAGGGCTTCTCTGCCTTGTTCGTGCAGCATTTGCACCCCTTCCAAGTGCAAGTCCAGTGGCAAGTTGGGTTCATCCATGTGAGCACCGTTGAGCCACGCTAGCGGTTGAATCTGAGGCTCACTCTTGTTGTCCTTATTGAACACCACCGTCTCGTTCGACCCCACTTTAAACAGGTAAATGTGGTCATTATGGTAATTCGCGAGGATTTCGGACCCGTCACTGCTAAATCGGATGCTCGTTCCGTGACTTTTATCGTGAAATCTCTGCGCTTTACTATCACAATAGGCATCCAAGTGCAAATGTGGAGGAGCGAACACCTCCACGGGGCTTGTAGCCCCTGCACTTCTGGCCGACGAGATGTGTTGCTGCACTCGCAACATGCGTCGATCGTACATCCTCGTGTAGAAATCCCCACAAGCCAAGACGATTTTCGTCGGGTCCAACGGGTGCGCCGTCATGCCCATTCCTCTCAACACTCTACCGTTCCTGTCCCTGCCTAAATTGATGAGAACTCCTGACGTGTCTGGGGTCTCACATCGCCCACTGGTTCTGGGTAGAGCGCGTAGATCGAATTGATACACCAGTCCATCCTCGGCTGCTGTCCAAAATACTTTGGGCACGGCCCACGAGGTGCCAATATCTTTGACTCGGTCTCTATGGACACGGAAAAGTTTGGACGAGTCTTCACGGAACGGCGCATAGTGGATACGGACGTCGTTGTCCATGGCTCCAGAGGCCAAAACGTGGTCGTCTGTGCCTGGGACGAAGCAGACGGCGAAGATGTTGAGCGTATGACCGGACTCGATCACCTGCTGCTTCTTGTGCTGCTCATAGTTCCATATGATCACATTATGATCGTCCGATCCGGACGCCAGCAACTTGCCGGTTTCGTTCCATTGGAGCGTGTTGACGCAGCCTCCGTGACCGTCGAGCACGGCCTCGCACTGGAGACGACGTACTAGACTGCCGTGGCCCTGACAGGCAGCGTCGATGACACGAGCGTTGCCGCGCACCTCGCGCTCCTGTAAGAGACGCGAGAGGCCCACGGGGGAGTGACCGTACTTCCAGTAGCGCCCGGAGCGCGCTCGCGGCACAGGATGAGCGACCTCCATGGCAACAGCGTCGTGGCTTCTGCAGAATGATCTCAAACTTAGTGGCGATTTGTATGGGAAACGGCGGCTTCAAGATGACTAAATTTTTGTGTCGGACCAAAATAATAATTGCTCCACTCAGATCATATCAATCTTTGTTTCCTCTTGTCACATTCCAAGATGCTGCGCCCGACTCGCTTACCGTACGGCGCACGCTGGCACGCCCTGCGCTCCTCGTGGCGTCGGCAATTGCCGCTGGTCGCCAAGATTCTGGTCGTGACCTCCGTGATTGGCTATTTCTTCTGGAACGTGAAGACCATCGCCACTCTCGCGCAGTCAGGATCACCCGCTCTGCGCTCCGAGGGCAGGGGCGTCGCTCAGGGACTACGCGACGCCTTGGCTGATATTCTGGCAGCGAGGGACAGTGAGGAGGCCTGGTGGCTGCGCCCACAGGCGTACCATAAAGAGGTAGGGCTATGAGAGTGATGTGAGCATGATATGACCTGTAAATGACGCTGACTATGTTTCATGACGCAGAGCGGCTGTGATTTTTCAGCGGCAGTGGCGCTGTTCAAGCCGGAGGAGCTGGAACTCAATTGCGCGAATATAGACCAGTTAGACACAGGCGAGTTCGTTGGCAAAGGCTTCTGGAGAGAAGTATTCAAGACTAAGTGGAACGGTGATATGATGATTATTTTATCATAAAGAAGTAATTCCATGCTGACAGACACTATTATTTTCTATTTTTTTTTATTGCAGAACGTGAGGTAGCGGTGAAACGCGTCAAGGAGGATCTACTGAGTCGGCCGGACATCATTCCTCGTCACGTGGAAGAGTGTGCGTCTATTTTCTCAATACGCAACGAGCCCAACATTGTGGGACTTGTGGGCTGGTGCAAGACGACGGTAGTGGTTGACTACATCCCACACCAGCTGGACACGCTATTATTCGAGTCTGAAGAACAAGTCTCCGTTCATCGTGCATTAAAGCTTGCGCGGGATGCTGCTCGAGGTGTCGCCCAGCTGCACAATGCACCAGGAGGTCCCTTCGCACACGCAGATCTACAGGCTCGACAGTTCTTGATCGATGACAACGGCACTTTGAAGTTGAATGACTTTAATCGTGTTAAATACACGGGGCCACGCTTGGTTAACGGCGTGCCTACAAGCGAGAAGTGCACGTTCGAGACTTCAGTCGCCAAGGGAAAGTGGCGCTCCCCGGAGGAATACCAACATAGACAGCTAGACGAGAAGCTGGATATCTACAGCTTATCGCTAGTAATGTGGGCGATGCGTGCGCGTGTGAAGCCGTTTCGGATGTTGGAGAGAGAAGAAGTATACGCAAAGGTACCGACTGGTGTTCGCCCGCCACTGGAGGCTATGAGTGACTATCCCAAGCAAATGCAAGACCTGATAGTAAGAGGTTGGGATACCGACCCGAAGAAACGACCGACCGCCGCTGAAATGGCTGACGAGATCGATCGAATCTTGAAAGTTTATGAAAGCAACATTATGACATAATTAAATTTGTTTATAGATCAGATATCTACTGCAATGCTTGCTTGATGCCGAGCGGATTCTCATCGAATTTGCAGAGCCACCACTGGAACGTGTGATTCCTTACTCGACAATAACTGGCCACAGCTGGAGGGCCGACTCGAGCGCGACACAGCGGACAGCGATACTGGAATAGCAGCCACTCGAAGATACATTCACGATGGAATACGTGCTGGCACGGGAGTATGATCGATGAAATGCAATCTTCATCCGCGACTTCGTCCAAGCAAACCATGCATTGGGTTGTTTCGGTCGAGTCTATCGTCGATGCATTCGAATTGGAGCTATCCCGACACACCGAGGCACTGCATTTCGAGGCAGCAGTGTGTTGGTAGTTGTCGACAAACACTTGGAGTAGTGATCGCTTGTCCGCTTCGTTTTGAACACCAAGGAACTCGAACAGACTCATCGGTAGATTTCGACGAGTTTGGACGCACTTCATAGCACTACCGGGTAGCAGAACGCAGCGTAGCAAGTACTGTATCACTGTCTCGAACTTGTGCTTTCGATCAAAGATGGTCCGTGGCGATTTTGAGAGAATCGCTAGCCGTTTTTGAGGAAAGCAGGTCCATAGAAACTCCCGAATAGCTTCACATGATCCGTAACACTTGCCACGCTGACACGTACACTGCTTCCTTACTTTCTTGATGAAAGTTGCGAATTCCGAATAGCGATACGATACGCTCCATGAATTGTTAGATGTCACGCTGGATACGTTGCAGTTGTAGACAACAAAGTCCTTTTCAACTGTTGTTGTTACCACTTGAAACTGTAGCGGAAGTTGCTGGGGAATGGTTCCACGAAGCATATTGATGGCCGCTGAGCTGAGCGGTGGGGCATGGCCCAAGGGAAATTGGACAATTGGACCGTAATTCATCGAGCGATGGCGTATGCAAACCTTACTCGTTGTTGGTAAATTTGCGAATGACCAAACTGACAACAATTTTGTCTCGAGCGGAGGCAATGCCAAGACAAATTTCTGTTTTGGGTGCCGTTGGAACCCATTATTATCAATTTGAGCCTTTAAATTTTGAATTTGACTCAAACTTGAGTCAATGAAGAGACACGCGTGGGACATCAGATCCCAATTTTGCTCGTCAACGTCGCATAAGGCACAAGGCATAAGAAATCTGTCGAGGAATTCGTCAATGAATGGCATTAGCATGTCGACGCGCGGATCGACAATACTTAGTGGCTCGACGCTAAGCTTCGTGGTGCTGAGCCTTTACACACTCGCTAGAAGACTAATAAGTTCATGTACACGATAAAAAAGTCTCGGTTTCTCGGCAGTAGTACGGTCGGGAAACACTCAGTGCTTCAGTTAAACGAACGAACTAGCGATTTGGTCATCATGGATAACTGTGTTTCGCAGAGAAACTGCCTGGACGACTCGCAGGACTTCTATCAGCCTAATTAAATCCAAATCGGTACTTCCAGCGCAATATCCCTTTAGATGCGAGCGGCAAGCTTGGTCCTGGCGTGTGCTATTTGGTTGGATTAGTTACCCTTTCGGGCCGTGAAGCGTGTGTTATTTGGTGTTGCCGAGCGCGTAGCGTGTCGTGCACAAGGGGGAATAGTATCCAAATGAAAAACGTGGTAATCAATCGTGATTAAATGGGTGTCGTGATTATGCAGACACAATGTCCTCAGATGTCCTCGATCTTCTGCTGGCGGTCTGGTTGCTTTTTTTTTTTTATCTATCAGCACTCAGACGAGGCTGCTGCTGCATTTCTCGCTTGATTCATGACTTGGGCATGCAGCATTCGTCGGCCCCACCACGAGCTCATTTCCACCCGCCTGCAAGGTTGCTGTTCACTTCGTGAGGCGATGGCTAAATTACTGCTGACGTCATTAAATTATATATTGATTCAAAACAGTATCCTAGTTTCGCTCCACTTACTCAGCCGTAGGATGGAACAGGTCCTCCTCAAAATCGCCGAGCCACCACTGCACATGATCCTTAGGTCGACAGTAGTTCTTCACAGCGTTGGGGCACACTCGAACTCGACATACAGGGCAGTGGAACTCGAACATCAGCCACTCAAAGACGCATTCACGGTGGAACGCGTGCTTGCAGGGAAGCATGATCGGCAAGTTGTCGACGTCAGTACATTGCGAACTACATTGCTGGTGATCGTGCTCCAAGTCTACATCGCACAGGCAGATCATGCACAGTGCTGAGTCTGGCGCCGAGTCAACGGTCGATGCGTTCGAGTGGAAGCTATCCGTCAGACTGGCCTCGTTGCCTTCCTTTATTACGTCCTGGTAATTGTCGATGAAGATCTGAAGTAGTGAACGTCTGTCCACGTCGTTCTCCACTCCTAAGAACTGGAACAAGTTCACCGGCAGGTTCTGACGTGCATGGAAACACTTCATTGCGCTACCAGGAAGTAGAACACACCGAAGTAGGTGCATCAGCACGTTCTCAAACTTGCTCTTGCGACTGGAAATGGTGTTCGGATTGGTGGACATGATGGCAAGGCGCTTCTTGGGGAAGCACGTCGAAACGTATTCACGCACAGCTTGACACGATCCGGAACATTTGGGGTCGTGACACGTCCAAAGCTCTTCCAGCTTGGTCCGGAAGTCGGCGAACTCTGAGTATCGGTACGACACGCTCCAGGAGTTCTTAGTAGTTAAGCTGGACAGGGTGCAGTTGTATACGACGAAATCCGACTCCATGGATGCGGACGACATATGAACCAGCAGCGGCAGCTCCTGTGGGATGTACTGGCGGAGCATCTTAAGCGAATACGTTTTGGTCCGACCGCGCTTCTTGGCAAGGCCACTTCTTGGAGCCGAAACAAACGCAGCAACATTCATAGTGTTGTATCTGGGACGTGGCTCCGAGTCAATTTCGAAAGTGACTCACTCATAACTTTGACCGAGTGTCCAAAACCAACACCGAAGCGGAAAAGTCCGTCGTTCATATCTCTCGTGCCGACCAGCGGCTTGCTCACACGATCCGTTGATCGCAGTGGGTCGAGCGGGTGGCCGTTGACCATCGACATGGCATACCCGAGTCAAAATGGTTGTCACGCGAAAACGGTTGTCGCACCAAGCACCACAGCTGTGACGCGCTCGATCACCACGTTCGAGTGGCCAATAGATGTGCATGAAGGAGTACTGCCGCGTTTTCGATTGGGCAATGAGTACTCGTCATGCATCCTGCATCTTATCCACAAGGGCTTTCGCGGTCACATAGATGCCTCAAAATGAAATCCAAGGTGTGGAAAAGCCGCTGGCAAAGGAATCTCCGGACTTGTCGACTTGGAATGCTCACACGAACACAGTAGACAGACACCGCGTTCTGAATTTCTGAAGTTTGTAACGGGATGCGTTGTTATCAGGTTGCGTGGACGAAATAGCTGAGACGGTCTCTTATCGGCCTTTGTTGCAAACCATTTAGAATATATTTACTGCAAGGGCGGGCTCGTATCAAGGATATGATCCATCAACGCTACCGGTATGTTTGTGTTCTTGTATTCTCCGTAGCACGTGGCCTTGCTCATGCAGCAGCCCACTTGTGTTATTCAGAATTTGAATGTTTTCTAACCGTCCAGAAGGCACATTGCATCGGCTAGAACAACGAAATCTTCTCCATATATCCCGTCCAGTTCTGTGAGTACTATTAGGAACAATCTTCAGGCTTGCAGGCTAAAGAGGGAGTCGAAAGATCACTGCTGGCTTCTGGTAAAGTTGTAGAATCGCACTACTATTTTAGAAGAGTGGTGTGGTACGGTAGGACAAGCCTGCTGCACAGTGTAGTTTGCACAGCTGCTACCGATAAAGCTCAAAACGCAGTTACCCAACGATCACAGCATGATGGAGTTGATCCTTTGATTGTCTTGGTGCCTTACGCTGCGGAACTCATGCCCAGGTGCGACAGGAAGTCATCCATTACCAAGTCGAGCGATAGAACATTCAGCACTCCTTGGAGCGTGCTTTTGACATTAACATGAGTGGCAGTGGTACGAAAGCTAGCGCAACACGGACACGTTTCCCATGACTTAATAGGGTGCTGGAGCCGGCAAGACTTGCAATGCAAGCTGAGCGGTCACGTGGTTTTTGGAATTATGATCCGCTGCTGTTTTCAAACGCATCAAGTTAGAGCGCCAGCTTCATGAATCTCACAAAGTATATACTTAAGTAACTTTGAAATCAATAAATTTATACCTTTCTTTTCAACTTATTATATCTAAGCTGTGCACTTCAGAATCCTCGCTTAAGTTTGGTGGGTGCAAGTTGTTGTTAATGTTGTTGGAAACAAGACCTCTTGAATTCTTCAGATTACCCACGAAACCTTGTTCGGGTTGCTTTCACGGTGTTGTCAATTCGGACGGGGTAAGATTGTCAGAACGGTAGTAAAGACAAGATCGCTGGAATGCAGGGATCGCCGGGAGATAATGTGTTTTCGACTTTAAGAGTGACTTCACGACACTGGTGTGCCGTGTATGATCTCAGCTGTGGACAAGCTTAATCGCTGCGTTGCTGTCTACCAATAGTATGGGGTGAACGATCTACTCGATCAAAACTCGATAATGGACGCGGCTACCAAGTATCAGCTCTTCTTGGACAGTTTGCGCGCGAACGATACGTTCTTCACCGCTAACCGTGGCTTTCCGCTGCCAGAAAAGCTGATGTTGAATCGATACTACAGAACCTGAGATCAACAAGTTTCCACGCCAGTGTGGAAAACTCATTACTCATAGACTAGATACCAGTGCGCTATCGAACAAATTTTGTTAACTCCAAACGGTTTTGGCTGGGCGTAAAAGTATCTTAAGGATCTCTCATAGTCAAGCCAACTTCAGTTTTGATTAACAGTCCATCTCCTCCCAAAGCGATTCGCATGTCAGTTTTCATCTTCATCCGCGACTTCGTCCAAGCAAACCATGCATTGGGTTGTTTCGGTCGAGTCTATCGTCGATGCATTCGAATTGGAGCTATCCCGACACA